GATGTAAAAAATGTTAAGAATCTCTAATATAAAGGAAGTCCACCAGTATATTGAGTGTACATACAGATGATTTAGAGGAAGAAATAAATGAGACCAAGGATGTGCTTCAGCCAATTCCAAGTAGCTCATGAGAGTTGGTTATTAAATTTCATTGTGTGCATTTACACCTCAGAAATTGGCAAAAGCTACAAATAAGGGTTTCCTTTATTATTTTGTTGATTGTCTAGAGCCTAGACTTAAGAAAGTGTTAAGAAGACACATTAAATTTAAGAGTGTATTTTGAGTACATGGGGGAGGTAGGAGAGACAAGGAGATACTTGTTAAATATTTACTAACACACCCTTGAAGAATGAGCAGTCATGGATGGATTGTAATCAGTCTCATTAAAAGCAATATCCTCATCAATTAGAATACATATACATCAAAGTATTGAAAAATTCCTGCTAGCATAAAAAGAGAACAGAGACAGGATACTATAGCAGAAAGAGCATTGCATTTTGGAGTCATAAGATCACTTAGATTAGGTAATCGATCAAATCCCTTCCATAAAATCCAAATTCCATTTTCCTATCACTTTCTTAAGTTATAATGATATATAGAATGTGGAGGATGAAATGGTATACAATCCAACAGAGAAACTAGTTCATTTACCACAGAGATTGAAAGTTAGGGACTAAGCAAATCTGCTGATACTTCAAAGGATCTGTGAGCTTATCAGCATAGTTATTTGCTCCACAGGTAAAGACCAAAATTCAACCAAGCAATGCCTTTCCATTCTTGTAGAATTTTTCCAAATCTTTCCATAAATCCTCCATTGAGAATTCAATCAACTAATCATAGCCTTCCCTTCTAGTTCTTTTAATATTTCAATAAATGCCAGGGCCACATACTGGCTGTCCATCTGTTATGCCTCACTCTTTTCAGATCACACAAGCCTTTAATTATCTTATAGGCCATTTCCTATTTCAGGCTACCTATACTTCCACTCTGTCTTTCAATTGACTTTTGGATAACTTACAATTCTGATTCTTCTGAGATCATGGCATTCTATTATTTATGCAGTATCCATATTGTATTACTGGGAGAACATTGCTATAAAAAGATGGAGTTTTGGAAAAATGAATAGCTTGAGATCATTGAAAGCACTTTACAACTTCATAAACATAATCAAGCATTATTTCCTTCCTGATTAATTCTGGCCTCTGCTCAATATTCATAAGGAGCACCTGTTTATGATACAGACAAATAAATAGAGACAGACAGAGAAACAGACAAACTCAGTTGTCTTCCCATCCCAGGTGTATGTTATATATGTGTTTTGCATCTACTTTGCTTTCAGATGTGAATGGTTAGGCTGGTTGCTTTCAAATGACAATGCAACTGATTAATATGCACTATTTCTCCAGTGATATCACTATCTACTTCTGTATCCACTATAGAGTAGCAGGAAATATGCACTTCCATACTGTGATTTTCCCCATTGCTGTTTTGATATATCATGGATCAGCATAAGAAATTAAATGAGAATTTTTGGGGAGTTTTGCAGAAGCCACAGGTGACATGAGAAGGCCATCAGACCACACAGAAAAAGTTTAGAAACTCAGAAATGCATACATATGTATAGTATTGTATAATATAGCCCATGACCCAACACTTAACCCAAATTTTGCAATAAGGTACACTAAACACCCCATAAAAGAAAGAAAATTCTACTTCTTTCGTACAAAGGGAGGGCCAAAAAACATATGTGGATTTTCCAGATTAGGGGGGCTCCATGCCCTTAACCCTCACGATGTGGAGGGGAGAATTGTACACTTACCTCTATCATCTAGAAGTTCAAGTAGTAAGCCTTTATTATACAGCTTTGATAGCTTTAAATTGCATGAAGACTTTGGATATGTTTAAAATGTAGCCTTTCCTGATAAAGATGGAAGTTCGAGTTCCTGTGGACCTTTGCCATTGGCACAGGCCTAAAGGCAGGAAAGAAAAATAATAGGAAGAAGACCTATCAGTCTATGGACAATTAGAGTCTAGTTCCTTCAGTGCTTAGCACAATGCCCGGTACATAGTAGGAACTTAATAAATATTTATTGACTGTTTGATGACAAAGTGTTAAATGACTCCTCTCTATGACTATTAGAAGAACAGCAAGGTTTGGAGAAGAGTTGTCCCAAATCAGAAAGAATTAAGTGCTTCAACAACCATAGTTTGTTTAATCCTGAATAGGTTTGGGAAAGGAGTAAGAGCTATACAACGACCATGTAAGAATAAAATGCAAATAATCTGCTCCTGGATGACTCCCTAAGGCCCAGAATATCTTTAAGTCCAGAAATAAACTGTTGAAGGCAATTTAAGAGATGTCTTCTTCTCTGGCAATTTACTACAAGAACTATATACAATATTCTTGATTCTTGACAGAGAAAACAGAAGTAAAACTGAAGTAGAGAAATTCCATTTTCTGTCTGTCATTTTAATGCCTCATCATCTACTCCCAACAAGTTTTTCCCTTTTTAATTTTTTTGTCTTCAACGAGCTTTAAAAATTTTGTGGTTGCTCTTAGTATTTTGCATAAGCACCCTTCCAAAGGTATAGTTTATAAGTCTGTAAGAATCCTACTCTAACGCCAGATCATTGTATGAATGTGACTCTGGATTCTCCAAGGTTAAGAAAGCAAAGTGCCTTCTTTGGAAGGTGCTAACTCTGGAAGGTACTAACAAGTAGAACAGGTTTCATTACTGAAGTGTGTGTCTATAGCCTAAAGAATAGCCTCTCAAGGCTCTAAGAGCTTCCCCCAACACACACCAAAAAAACCACACACACACACACACACACACACACAAAACCTCCTAACCAGAAGATGATTTGGGGCAATTACACAATTGTTCCATGGTCTACTGAGGCATATTGCCACAATTCATAGAGGGACCACACCAGGAAAACAGAGACACTGTGAAGCAGTGTAACATTAGGATTCACTTATACGTTAGAAATTGTTGTTCTTATCATTAATGACATCAAAACATACATGGCAACAGTTGACAATGAACTTGCTAACACTGTTGCATGATGACTTTTTGTGTCAATCATGTTGTATGGAATGTCAAAGGCTGTATTTCTCTATTTTTAAAAGTTATAAGACAAAATCACCCCTACTATGAGCCTTCTCCAAAACTTTCTTAGGGAACACCAGTAATCTTGGGTTTTGGTAGGCTATGCACATGAATACAAATTTTGATAGATTTTACCACACAGTCAGACCAAGAGGGCTGAATCTATCAGCTACAACAACCCTCAAAGACTGTCTAGGGAGTCACTTAAGGGACTGCAATCTGAAGCAGTTGGGGGGGGGGGTGCCTACATCAACAAAAATTCTAAGTAGATTTAAGAAACAAAAATAAAAGGCTGTTTTCCAAGGATAAAGTGAAAATTATTTCAAATATGTTAATACCAGTTGTCATAGAATCAGAGATTCAGAGCTGGAAAGCCATTTATTATAGATGATATGGTGGTGTACTTAGAGAATCCTAAAGAGTCAACTAAAAATGAATTAAAATAACAAATTAACCAAAGTTGAAGAACATCGAGTAAATTCATACAAATCATTAGCATTCCTACATATAATTAACAAAACCTAGCAGGAAAAGCTAGAAAGATAAAGTCCATTAAAAATAACTACAGAAACTAAACTAAATTCATATGGAAGAATAAAAGGTCAAGAATGTCAAGGGTAATAATGGGGGGAAGGAGAATGAGAAGGAAGGGGGCCTATCAGATCTCAAATTGTGCTACAAAGTAGCAATCATTAAAATGATTTAGCATTATTTTTAAAAAAGTCAATCAGTGGAATAGAGTAGGTATATATTGTAAAGAAATAGGCACATATATGATGACAGCAAAAAACCAAAGGAGTGAAGACTTTTATTTGACAAAAACTGCTAGGAAAAAAAATACAGGAATCTGGCAGAAATTGGGTTTTGACCAACAATCATAGTATACAACAAGATAAGTTCCAAAAGGACATGTGACCTAGATATAAAAGGTCACATCTTAAACAAACTGGAAGGAAGGAATAAATACCCTCTAAGATTTTTGGACAGGAGAAGAGTTAATGAATAAACAAGAGAAAAAATCATAGAAGAGAAAATGAACAATTTTAGTTATATAAAATTAGGTTTTTCATAAACAAATCTAATGTATTAAAAATTAGTAGGGAAACGAGGAACTGGAGAAAAAAAAACGTTGCAACAAATTTCTCTGATAAAGGTCTCGTTTCCAATACACATAAGGAATTTATCAAATGTGTAAGATTATAAGCTATTCCCAAATAGATAAATGAGCAAAGGTTATGAACATTAGGTTTTCAAAGGAAGAAAACCTAATTTTAAAATGGACTAAATCAGTAATGTCAAACTCAATAGAAACAGGGGTCACTAATTTGTATCAAAGGATCCCTGTGGGCCACAAATGGATTTGGAATGTTATTTATGTTCTACTATGTTTTTATTTATTTTGTTATATACTGGGTTCTGACTGCACTTGGAAATATTTTGTGACGTGTTTGACACCTCTGTTTTCTGAGTTCAAATCCAGTCTCTGACATTTATTGTCTGTCCTTGAGAAAGTCACTTAAACTCTATTTACCTCAGTTTCCTCAACTGTAAAATAGGGATAATAACAGTTCCTATCTCACAGAATTTTTGTGAGGATCAAATGAGCCAATATATGTAATATGCTTAGCACAGTGCCTGACACATAGTAGGTGCTATGTAAATGTTAGCTATCATCATCATTATGATTGTTACTCTCCTGGTGTTTCTTAAGGCTTTCTCCCTCTTGAAATTACTTTATATATAATTATTGTATAGGAGTACATGCTATCCCTTGTAACCCATGCAAAATGTAAACTTCTTAAGCATAGGGGTTCGCCTCTATATCCACAGCATAACATTGTTGTTTCCTTCCTGCACCCATCTCAATTTTTCCTTAACATTTCATTACAGATTTATATTGAGCACTTAAGATATGATTCAGTGTCATAAACACTCTGCAGTAAGCCGAAGCATAAACTACTACCAAGAGGAAAAGGAAACCAAACTATGGAAAGAAGCAGCAAGAGGTTGGTAAACGCATTAATTTGCTTCCCTATCACTGTCAGATGATAAAGCACAGCTTCACTAAGCTCCCTGCACGGCATCCTCTTAGCTATTTTATCTGCATTTACGCTTGCCTATTACTCTGTTCCTTCCCTTCACTACTTTCTGGGCTATTTTCTACCTTTACCATCCTTTTTCTTCCTGGGAAGTTCTTTCTTCATCTGTCTCCATGATTCAGTTTCTAAGCACAGAGCAGGCTTTGACTCATCAATTGTAATTAGCCCGAGCAGCTGACAGCCAAGTTCAGTCAGATTTAATGAGGCACAGACCGGTTGCACAAGGGGGCAACCTGATGTTTGCCGAACTGCCCTACTTTCCTTTGCTGCTCATCAGGTCTGTTGTACCACTTCCCCAGGTTATATCCGGGTAAATAGTCACCTGTCCTTATTGAACAAAATATAAAGAGCTGATATTTCCTTATATCACAGGAGACTAAGTCATTAGAACCTGCCACCCTGGTACAGAAACATCAAGGAGCATTTAAATACACAGTGCTAAATTAGATACTACCTCTGCCCTTTGTGGGCAGCTAGGTGGATAGGGTGCTGGGTTTAAAGGCAGGAAGACTCATTTTCCTGAGTTCAAATCTAGCCTCAGACACTTACTAGCTGTGTGACCTTGGGCAAATCACTTAACCCTGTTTACTTCAGTTTCACATTTATAATGAGTAGAAGGAAATGGCAAACCATTCCAGCAGAAAGAGTGCCAAGAAAACCCTGAATCTGGTCAGGAAGAGTCAGCTGTGAATGAACAAAGACAACTGCCCTCTGTGGGTTTATTATTGAAGACAGATAACCTTGAATATTCCCACGCACAAAGGACATTGACTAATCATTTTTAAGGATATGAATTAAATAAAGACTAGACTAATATTCTGTATAACCAAATGCTTAAATGTATATTGCAAGGTAGGAGTGGAGGAGTATTCTACTGGTTGGGAGGGGGGATGAATGGGAATTCATTAGCTTGATGTGATTGTAAGCACCGAAGGAGAGAAGGAAAGAAGGTTCATTGGCTGGCTCATAATAAATATTTTTAAAAAGCTTGTTGATTTGAAAAGAAAAAGATTCAGGGCTTACAAAGAATAACAGGGACACAAAGAATAACAGGGAGGAAGAGAGTCTCTGAGAGGGTGGAGAGAGGTTACAAGGTATAACAAGGGGATATTCAAATGATGAGGGAACTGAGGTGTCCTAAAGGAAAAAGCTCAAAAAGTATTTAAGGTTTTTGTGAGTTCAAATCCTACTTTGTAATTTACTTCCTGTATGACCTTGGGCAACCCATTTGACACATCAGGGCCTCTTTCTCCATCTCTAAAATGGGTGAATTCTACTAGATGACTTCTAAGGAACCATAAAGCTCTAAAATTCTGTGGGCCTATGAATGACTGCAATACACAGAGACACAGGAGGTGAAACATCCCATATCTTCCTGATGAATGACTTGAAAGTGATTATAAGAATGCAAGGATAGCATACACCAACTAACTGGATAAGGATATCTCAATAACAGTGATAAGGATCAACCTGAGGAAGGTAGAAAGGGATGGTACAGAGCTTCAAGCTGGGTATCTGGTGAAAAGTCAAGTGTTGGATAGGAATGTAAATCTCAAGTCAACTAAGATGAATAGTTTTAATATATTTCTTATTCATAGAGCTGTCGTTTTTATATTATTATTGCTACATAAAATAAAGAAGCCAACCCTCCCTCACAATTAAAACTGGGAAAATAATTATTTTTGCTTATCACAAATGTCAAGTTTTGGGGATAGAATTCAAAACACAGAGTACAAGAATTTTTCAACTTTCCCTCTTTGTTTAAGTGTCTGTCTCTTTGCGGGGGGATTGTTTTTGCTGTCTCTGGTGATTTTAAGCAGGCTAAGCTTTCTAATGAATTTCTGTTCACTGTGTATGAGTGACCTTTAAGGCACAGGGCAAATCTTCCTTTTGAAACTTCCCTTTCTGTAGTGGGAGTAAAGAGTTGAAGTTTGATGATTTTCAAATGTGTTGGTACTGACATTTTCATGAACCATTTTCATTCTGCTACTTGCGCTCTCTGGAAAATTGACTACGGCAAAAAAAAGAATGAGTAGTGGTAGTGCCAACTAGTGTGACAGAGTGGATAGAGCACTGGCCTTGGTGTCATGAAGATTTAAGTTCAAATCCCACTTCTGACAATATTATCTGTGAGAACTGGATAAGTCATTTGACCAATCTGTCTTCTCATCTGCAAAATAAGGAAGGGAATACTAAAAGGGGAAATGGATTAGATGGCATCTTTCAGCCCTAGATCTGAGATCCTATGGTCCTTGTTGTTTAACTTTGTACAACTCATGTCCCCTCCCTGAGCCTCAAATTTCTTCATCCATAAGATAAGGGTATTAGATGAGATGACCTTTAAGGTCCATTCTAGCACCAAAATTGTGTTTGGACACAAAATTCCATTTTGGATATCTGGTATGTAATTTCATCTATTTCTTCCTTCCCTCCCTAAAATCTTCCCCAAAAAATGTTAATAGGAACTTAATTTTCATTTAAGAAGTCTCTATTATGTATCTACTATGTGCCAGGCACTGTGATAAGCACCAGGGATTCAAAGACAAAAATGAAGTAGTGCCTGACCTCAAGGAGCTTATATTCTGTACTATTTAGATACAAAATGAAAATCAAACTATGAGCAAAATAATTTGGGAGGAGGTAGTAGCAACTGAGGACATCAGAATAGGGAGACCAAACAGGAAAAACTAGGGGCAGCCAGGCGGTACAGTAGATAGAACAGCAGGCTTGGAGTCAGGAGGACCTGAGTTCAAACCCAGCCTCAAACACATAACACTCACTAGCTATGTGACACTGGGCAAGTCACTTAACTCCAATTGCCTCTCCAAAAATAAATGAACAAACAAACAGGAAAAACTGGCCAAGGTCAAGCACAAAGGGGATGAGAAACGGTACCAAGTCTTCTTACCTTTGGTGTTGATGCTGTTGGCCCTACTTGGGGTTAAAAATTTCTATCACCAGGCCTTGTTTTCTCAAGTAAGGCTATTATTACAACTGAATCCTTTATAAATTCACTATATAATTCCTAGATCTTCCACTTAAATGTGGGACCATTTCACAAAGTCAAAGGGGGATAGCCTGTGCAAAGGCATGAGGTAAAGAGATGGAATAACAACAGGCAAGACAGTTTATCAGCCTGATTACATGAAGACAGAATGAAAAAAGTGATAGCCTCTCTGTACTTTTCCCTGGTTGGACTATATCTGTTCAAAGACGGCAAGGAGCTCAAGCTCATAGAGTACCCTGATGCTTTCCAGTGATCTTCACCACTTGCACACACTTTCTCTACTCTCTCCCTCCCACTAGCCCTCACAACAGTAAATAAATCAATATGACTAAAAATGGAGTTGACATTGTAATTAATTGACCTGTGGTTCCACTCAACATGTCTGTAATGAAAATAACCCTCTCTGGCCACCACTCCATATGTACTTTCAATCTTTTTTTTTTCAATATTTGTATACTTCAGTACTAACAAAGTATGGATCAGTTCTCTGCTTCTTGTGCTAATTTTGGCCTAACAATTAACACCAAGAAAGCACAGGTGCTCCATCAGCCACCACACACCATCCATACACAGAACCGTCAGTTACAGCAAATAGAGAAGTTTTGAATGCTATGGATAAGTTCACTTACCCTGGCAGTGTACTTTCCAGGGATGTTCACATTAATAAAGAGGTTGATGCATGCATTACCAGAGCTAGCTCAGTGTTTGGGAGGCTCTGAAGGAAAGTGTGGAAGAGAAGAGGTATTAGACTGACTCCCAAACTTCAGTTTGGCTCTACAGAGCCATTGTACTGATCTCACTGTTGTATATCTGTGAAAACCGGACAGTATAGCAGCGCCATGCCAGGAGACTGAATTGCTTTCATTTGAATTGTCTTGGGAAGATTCTGAAGATGACCCAGCAGGATAAACTACCAGACACTGAGGTCCTTTCTCGAGCTAAACTGCCAAGCATTCAAACTCTGCTTCAGAAAGTGTAATTCCAATGGATTGGCCATGTTGTTCCAATGCAAAATGTACACTTGCCAAAAAAAACAAAATTATTTTATGGAGGACTCACACTGGGCAAGCATTTACATAGTGGTCAGAAGAAGCAGTGCAAGGACATTCTCAAGGTCTTTCTTAAGAACTTTGGAAATGATTGTGCGACATGGGAGCCACTAGCACAGGACCTCTCAGTATGGTGTGCCCATGTCAGAAAAGGTGCTGTGCTCTATGAGCAAAGCAGAATTGAAATAGCTTAAGAGAAATGCAACATACTCAGACTTACAGAATCTACCCCAAAGGTTCACACAGACTATTTGTGCCCAACCTGTGGTAGAACATTCCGAGCTTGTTTTGGTCTGATCAGCCACAGTCGGACACACTAAAACTTGACTCTATCATAGTGATGTCATTTTTGTCCTCTTTGAAAACAATGGATAACAACAATCCCTAGCATATAATTAAGCGTTTAATAAATTCCCTTCACTCATTAATTCATATCAGAATTGTTGTGTTCACCACTTTTTAGGAAGAATGTTGCCATACTGGTACATGTCCAGAGAAAAGTAAAGAGGATTGGAGGGCATGCCAGTTAGTATCAACCAAAGTAACTGGGAGTGTTTGCCCTAGAGAAGACTTAGGGAGAATATAATGAATGGCCTTCAAGTATCAGACTTCTTTTATCTCTGGACAAAATGAATTTAAAGTGTTAATATTTTTAATGGAAAAGGACATTTCCTATTTTCTAAAATTAGCCTAACATTGACATCATTCTCCACTTTTCTTTTTTTCTTTTTTTGTTTTTGTTTACCCAATTTTCATCACATTTAAACATATAAACATGTATGCCATTTTAAAATAAAAATTCATGACCAACCTAACCCAAAATGTTATTAGACCAAAAAAAAAAAAGAAAG